AAATGGTATTGAATTAGCTTCATATAACAGAATGAAATTAGGTCACTATCTCACACCATCTACAAAAATGAATTTAAAATGGATCAAAGACCTTGATTTTAAACCGAAATCCACAAAAAAAATTGAGAACATAGGTACAAAGTTCCATGATACTAACTTCAGAGGTGTCTTCAATGTCCTAAGTGATAAAATAAAAACAAATGGGAACTGTATCAAGCTAAAAAACATCTTCTTGGTGCAAAAAAACTATGGCTAAGGCCAGGATGATAGTACAGTGAGTAGGGTCTTGCCTTGCATGGGGATAATCCAAATATGATCCTGATACTGCATTAGGACCCTGAACACCAAAAGGAGTGATGAGTGATCTCTGAGTATAGAGCCAGGAGTAATCCCTGAGCACCACCAGGTGTGACCCAAAAACCAAACCAAAACAACAACTAAAAAACACTATTGCTAACATTAAAAACCCCTCTACTTAGTGGGAGAAAATATTTGCACAACATGCATCTAATAAAGTACTAACATTCAAGATATATAAAGTACTCACAAAAATAAACAATAACAAAACACAATTCCATCCAAAAAATGGGAAGAGGAGCAGGATAGTTATCCAAAAATGACACGGATGACCAGCAGGTATATGAAAAAATTCACCATTATTAATTATCAGGAAATGCAAATAAAAACAGCCATGAGACATTACCTCATACTGGTGAGAAGGGCCTTTTCAAAAGGTCAAAAATAAACAATGCTGGTAGGGATGTGGTGAAAAAGAATTCTTATTTATTCTTGGTGTACATCTAATTGTATTCAGCTTCTATGGAAACCAGTTTGGAGACTTCACAAAATTTAAATCAGAGTTAAGAGATTCCATTCTTTGAGATTCCATTCCTTGGCATCTATTCCAAAGATGGATAGACACTAGTTTGAAGAGATAAATGCACACAAATGTTAATTGCAGCTACTTATAATGGCCAAGATCTGGAAGCCTAAGGGTCAAGCAACTAATGAGTTGATAAAGAAACAGTGGTATATATACACAATGAACTACCATTCAGTCACAAGAAAAGATGAAATCTTTCATTCCGCACAAGTTGGATGAAACTAAAGTCTGTCATGTTCAGCAAAATAAATCAGAAAGAGAAAAATACAGGATTTCTCACTCATATGTATAATAGAGAGTAATAAAGCAATAAACAATAGCCAATGAAAACAGACCTTAAGGCTGTGTCAACAGAACTGAGTTTTTTCAGACGTATGTCATGTTGAGAAGTATTGGAAGAAAAGGAACTTAGCTGCAATAAGGTAGTATAGTAATAGTGTATACCTAAAGTGTAAATATTAATACCATTGCAAAGCAAGTTACTAATAAAATTTTTTATAAAAAATTTTAAAGTAATTTTTTTCAAATATCTACTTATAGATCTATTTTGTTTGTTTGGGGCCCACACCCACTGATGCTCAGGGGCAACTCCTGGCTCTGTTCAGGAATCACTTCTGGCAGAATTTGGGGGACCATACAGGATGCCATGGATCTAACCTGAGTCGGCTAAAGTGCTTATTTTTAATTAATATATTATACTTTAGTAAGATAATTGAAAGACATAGTTTATTGCTTTCAAAATACCTTTAAGGAATAATTTATATTTTATAGGTTTTTCAATTTAATTTTCACAAGGAAAACCTTAGTGTCACATATACATCAGGTAATGTGGATTGTGCAATTATGAAAATCATCATAGTGAGTCATCGGAAAAATCTGAATCATATTGTGGTTTTCATTTACCCAAAATTGAATAATTCAAATACCACATAGACCATTACTCAGTAATTCCCTTAACATCTTGATCTTTAATTAAAATATGTATATGTGTGTATTTATCTTTTTATCCCATATCAGGTATTACTGGGAGCTATCATGGCTGTGTGCCTGGGAGACCATGTGGTGATCCCTTGTGATCAAAACAGGGTTGGCTGCATACAAAGCAAGTGCTTTAATCCCTGTACTCTTTTTCTAGTCCTAACTCTATCTCATTAAATCCATTCTTCTGCAGGAACTTTCCTTTTATAGTGTCACCTTTATATAATCTTAGTTTTCTTCTTTTCTCTGAATTTATGTTCCACTTCATGAATTACAATAGTATCTATCATATTTTCTTGTCCTTCTTGGTAATCATGACAATCTAGTCAGTGGACATAATTGAGTTCCTAGTCTGTTCTAATTTTATGTGCAGATTTAAGTTACAAAGATCCTCAGAAAGTGGCCTTCACTCCCAGAGAATTCAGAGTCTAATGTGGAGACAGACACAGCTTTTATCTCAACAAAACATTCAGAGTATCATGTAGGAGACAGACAACAAAACCAGACCATGGCCATTAATAGTGGTGATATATGCACGGAAGGGCTGGAGTGATAGCACAGCGGTAGAGTGTTTGCCTTGCACGCAGCCAACATGGCCTACCTGAGTTCGATTCCTCTGCCCCTCTCGGAGAGCCCGGCAAACTACCGAGAGTATCTCGCCCGCACAGCAGAGCCTGGCAAGCTACCCGTGATGTATTCAATATGCCAAACATAGTAACAACAAAGTCTCCAATGGAGATGTTACTGGGCCCACTCAAGCAAATCGATGAACAATGGGAGGACAGTGACAGTGATAAAGAAGAACTAGGAGAGCTCAGTCTAGCCTACAAGTAACTCCTTAACTGAGAAAGGAAAGAACACACCCAAGATAAAACAATGAAGTAAGCTATCTGGAAACATCCAGGAGCGGCTTTGTTTTATATGGTATTTATGTTTGTGATTGTAGTAAGTCTATTGTGGATATTGCAAAAATATGCACATGTTCTTGTAGCCAGGTAAAAAGAACTGGGTAATATGACAGTAAAGTACAATGATGCCAAAATGGGAAGAGACAATGAATGCCCTTAGTCTATGGAAGGCTGCAGGGAACGAGCATACAAGTACATCCCATTACTATCTTTTTAATAATTGTTTTGTTTGGAGATTTTGGGTTACACCAGATACTCAGGGTTACTTTGTCCCTATGCGGAGGATTCAGTCCTACTGGTGCTCTGGGAATGATGAAAGGTGAAAGATGCTAGGAAAGTACCTTCCCTCCTGAACTAGCTCTCTGACCTGAGCTCTGTTAAGTGAGAGGTTTCATTCACCAAGTTTCAGTTTCCCCCATTAGCAAAATAGAAATCAACTTGCATTGATCTATACAGTATAAGAAGTAAATGAATATAAAAATTGAGCACATTGACACAAAAACATAAGTTGAGCATATTGTCTGACACAAAATATTTGCTGAATACAATTTTTTATTCTATTACCTCCTAGACTTAGAAAATACAAAGGAGGCAATTTCTGTTTGCCAAGATTATTTGTACATCTGTTGGACATGAGGAAAACAACAACTATTTTTACCTAATTCACAACTTTGGAAGAAGTTGAAGCAATTTACCAGAGTTCTTTACTCTCTACTTCTGTTATGTGTGCTCATGGTAAGGAGAAGTATTTTCACTGATGCCCCCACAATAACTATTTCTATCTGGTATTAAATGATACTTGATGAAGATAGCTAGCATTGACAAACCCGTGCATCAGGCTGTCTTCACTGGGGCCCCTTGGAGTGTGGCGGGTTGAGTTTCCTTCCCCGCCCTGAGCAGAGCCCCAGCAGCTAAAGACCTCCAGTATCCAGTCACAGCCATACTCCAGGACACTCTCCACACGCTTGGACGAGCCTCACGCATGAAGGAACCAGTAGAGAAACTCAGGGCCGTGGGTACCGGGCCTGAGATCTCTACCAGCTACTGCCACGCTCCAGGATGCTTTCCAGATGCTTGGACAAAGACTCACGCATGAGTGAAGCTCCACAGAACCAGGTAAGTGGAACTCTGTGACCTTGGGCTCCAGGCTCAATGGGACCCGGGAACAGAGATCCTGCTTTCACCAATCTCCAGAGACCAAGGGATTAAAACCAGAAGCCCCATCCTACCCTGCCCTGTCTGCTTTCACCAACCTCCGGTGACCCGGGGATTATGCACAGAAGACCCATCATATTGGTGCCAGATAAATACCTCATCAGCAGACCTCCACTACCTCTACTACCTCCACTACCCAGTTGCCGCCATGCTCCAGGACACTTTCCAGACTGCACGGCCGCAAAACGGCCACACAACACATCATAGAATGTGTTAGGAGTTAGGATTGGAAATTGTATTTGTCAGACATCAGGCTTGTATTCTTTTTTAAAAAAAAAAATTTATAAAGTTGTTCACAATTACACCTTTCCATCACCATATTTCAACTTTTTCTATCCCAAACCCCAAATCATGCCCCCATAACAGGACGTAAATAGTTTATTTTGTATTGCTTCTTATGAATAAGGTAAAGGTAAAGGTAAAGAAAGGCCCTCCCATTGATCGTCGATTTGCTCGAGTGGGCCCAGTAACGTCTCCATTGGAGACTTTGTTGTTACTGTGTCTGGCATATCGAATACTCTCGGTAGCTTGCCGGGCTCTCCGAGAGGGGCGGAGGAATCGAACTCGGGTCGGCCATGTTGGCCGCTTGTAAGGCGAACGCCCTACCCGCTGTGCTATCACTCCAGCCCTAGCTGGACACATGTTTCGACCCGTCTTGAAACACGGACCAAGGAGTCTAACACGTGCGCGAGTCAGGGGCTCGCCCGAAAACCGACCCACCCTTCTTATGAATAATACACTAAAAATGATCCAAAAGATTTCCTTGGAGAAAAGTGTGTGAAGACTGCTGTATTTCACCCGAGAGCCATTAAGCCATTAAGTACATCAGTAGAATGTGAGATGTCGCGTGGCTGCATGCTCCAGGAATTCTAAAATTTTAAATACAGTGATATAGCTGAGGTTAATTTATTTGTTTCTTTCTTTATTTAACTGTATGTGACTTCGGGGTCTAGCGACATCTTTGTGGCATGTTGCTCGTGGTGCTCTCTTCCAAGAGATTGATTTCTGAATCTCTGAGAATTATGGAACGCTTCATGAATTTTCATGTCATCCTTGCACAGGGGTCATGCTAATCTTTTCTGTATCAATCCTATTTTTAGTATACCTGCTGCTGAAGCGAGCACCATTTTTTGCATTAAAGAAGTCAGTCACCATGTGAGATGTTTGGCCATTTTGAGACTGCCAACTTGTGTAAAGTCTAATCTGGTCAGGTATAGAAACCATGCAGAAAGAGGGGTCTCTAGATAATAGACAGACCCAGTTGAACTTTAGTTAATAGACACCAATTTATTAGGCATGAGGTCAGCTCATCTCATAAGTGCATCATTCAACCCAAGCAAATCTATAGATCATGTAGAATAGAAATGAGCTATTTCAACCAAGATTTTCCCAAATTGAAAGATTGGGAAGGATAAAATGATAGCTGTTGGAGTTAACCAATAACTTTTGAGATAATAATAAATCAGAGAAGTTGTCTCCTTGGCGAATACTTGGAACTAACACAATTCTTAAAGATTACCTCCTCAGATACTAACCAGATACTATCCACGGACTTATAATTATGAACCTTCTCTTTGTAAATTTCCTTAAGAAGTGATTCTCTTTAACTCTTCCCTTATGACCTTAGACTAAAAGATGAAAATATTTTTTTGTTCCCAGAAGATGAGTTGATGGTAAGGACTGATTTTCTTACTAAATAGTAGGAAATAGCAGACACAATCGCAGACATGATATAATAGCGTCATGATATAATATTCTCATGATACAATATAGGTATGATATAATAGAGACATGATATAATAGTAGAGAAAAAAGCAATCATGGTATAATACTGAACTGAAAAATTCAGACAGCAAAATAATGATGATCTCACCAAAAAAATCTGGCCCTTGCCAGGCACTCTGGGGCAGCAGCTCTTCTTCCCAGTTGGCATTTTTTAGCAGCAGAACATTAGAAGAGTATTAGTGATAAAGCCACCAACTTCTAGAAGTCCTGTCCCCTTGAAGTTTGCTCAGTGTTCTTGACATAAAGAAATTTTATTTCAGTAAAGATTGTAGTACTCATTAAAATCTTTTTTTTAAATAATGTAGGAGTATTGCTATTTGTTCAGCCATTGATTAAGCTGATTGAATTGGGCATGAACTCCACATTACTTTTTTATCTTATTGTATCACCATGAGATAGAATTACAAAACTTTCATGTTTGATATTCAGCCATACAATGCTGAAGCACCCAATCCCTCCACTAGTGCACATTTTCCACCATCATTGTCCCAAGTATCACCCCCTCTCACATACATATACATCGCAGTCCTCACCCTGCCTCTATGCAGACAATTTCCCCAATACTCTGTCTCTAATTTGTGCCATTAATTTTGCTCGAATTTTCCCACCACCATTCAAGCCTACCTGCTAGGGGCAGATACTAGATAATATATTTTCCATAGCTCATTTCAAATATCATGAGAGCTGACACGGGCGCAATTATAAATGTAAATTTCTATATTGTAGATGGTTGGGTTCCAGAGACATCTCTGTATGGCACTAATCCATTTTGGGATTCAATTGTGAGCCTCTGGGCCAGGGCTATTGGTGCACTAAGATGGCACCCAGAGGCAAATTGTGGGCGTGACAGCCAGTCTTCTGGGCAGGTGGTGACCGGGAGAGGAAAAGCCCAGGTCCTCTGCCACCATGCGGTCTGGAGATTCAGTCTTGGAACCCGCATACCTGGGCCTTGCTTTGAAAGTTCTTGGTCACCGGGATTCCATCTGGAGTAGGAGGAAGACTGCACCTGCTCCACCTGAGTTGTCCCAGTGATATTGGCTTGATATGGGGCCAGGAGAGATCTCTGGCGCTATGGTGTCGTCTGGGACTTGCTGCTATGTATCTGGACCAGGACTGTTGGTGCACTAAGATGGTGCCCAGAGGCTAATTGTGGGCATAACAGCCAGGCTTCTGGGCAGGTGAGGGCCCGAAGACGACAGCCCAGGTCCTCTGCTGCCAAGTGGCCTGTAGATGTAGTCTTGGAACTGGCATACCTGGCCCTTGCTTGTGGAAGCTCTGGTCACTAGAATTTCATTTAGAGTAGGCGGGGAGTCGGCACCTGCTCCATCTGGGGTGTTCTGGTGATATGGGCTCGGTATGGGGCACAGAGAGATCTTTGGCACTGTGGTGTTTTCCAGGACTTGCTGCTGTGTTTCTAGGGCCAGGGCTATTGGTGTGCTAAGATCCACATTACAAAATTTTCAGCAGATTTTATCTTGGTGAGGTCCATCCTGAGACGGAAGAGTCAGGCTTGGGGTATGGCAGCAATGTTGGATTGTGGAAGCAAGTAGCTGCCAGGGACTCTGCTTGAGTGGGCACAGGCCAATCCGCCCTCTCCAATTTACTCCGGACTGTTCAGCCATGTATGGGTCTTAGCTTAACTGTGGCTTTTGATCTCTTTTGAGATTTATTTAGGGGTCTCTGAGGCAAGGCCAATAGTAGAGCTTACAGGGTGGGACTGGATTTGGTTCATGGGGGTTACTGCCAGTTCTTCCATGTGTATTGGGAAGTGGGTGGAAGTAGCCCATCCCAACTCTGAGTGAACTTTTATAGCTGAGTCGGAGGTGGTTTGTGGGTGTAACTCCCACATACCTAACTTTTGGCCATTTAATTTTTTGGTAAACTTGGTCCCAAGTTGTTGGGGTCTGGCACAGCAGCAATTTGGTGGTATCAGGAAGCCTGAAGGCAACATCAGGCTGCTGATGCACTCGCCCCGCAGGTAGAGGTTGACCTGTTGGTGGCACCACAATACCCCCCCCCCCATTAAAATCTTTATTCCTATTTTGTTTAAGCATCTTGTGTTTATTCACCAAAACAAACCAACAAAGTAAAAAAAGAGCAACAGCCATGCATGAAGCTCCCTCTTGCCCCAGTTCTCCACATGCCAACACACCAGTCCACAGGTGACCCAGGTAGTAGGAGAATCTGCTGTTTTAAAAATATATGTCTAATAAATATAGTTTAGATCACAGGTTCACAATATGCTGAACATTTTGTAGTTTTGATGTACACAGTCATCACACTTCGCCCATCAAAGTGCTCAAGTCACTCCTTTCCTTACTTGCAGTCACCTCATTTCCTCCACATATTCCTCCCCTCCTTTGGTATTTTCAGTTTTATAACCTAGACCAAAGGTTTGTTATAATTTGTTGCTGTCTATCCCTTTGCTATGTTTCTTTATGTATCCAGAATAGTGAGATCACCTAACTCAATGCAAACTTTAGGTAGTTCATGTTTCTTACCTTAGAAAGTATAATCCTAGCAAACAACAGTGTGTATTTACTGACTTCTGTAAAGTGCTAGCAAGTGTAAACCTTCACCTGGTGATCTTCCTTCAAGAAGTTTAATAGAGGCTGAAGCGATAGTATGGTGGAAAGGGCATTTGCGTGCACCTGACCCACATTTGATATGGTTAGTCTCCTTAGCTCTACCAGGATCGATCCCTGAGTGTGGAACTAGGAGGGAGCCCTGAAAACTGCTGCAGGTGATCTAAACACCAAACAGAAAGGAAGAAAGGTAAAACAGAGGGAGCTGAGTGCATGCTCTAAGGTCTGAGGTGCGAATTGTTCGTGTGGAAGCCCTAGTTCAATCCCAAACCCTGCATTGTCCCCTGAGTGCTGCAGCCTGGAAGTGTCTCCCAAGCACCACACAGAGTACCCCTGAGTACCCCAGACGCAACTGCTTCTCCTCCATCAAAGGAAGCCCAACAAAAGTTGTTTGTGTCTCATTCAAACCCTTCTGCACTCACCTTTCTACTCAAAAACCTTTTATATCAAAAACTCTGGCTCTGCCTGAAGGCTTTTTTTTCTCACAACAGGAGTCATACAGGGTTCAAGACCAAAGCCGCCTCAGCATGCCAGAAAGTTAATGATCTCAGAAGTCCTCAGTGAATGACAAACAGGGAGTTGATAGAAAAAGATTCTAACTTCCTCCCCTTTGGCATGAAATAACTCTAAAAGTTGGTTACCTGCCTGGTAGTAACCCCATTTGCTTGCCTTTCTCACCCTGTCTCCTTGTCTGTGTTTCCTGGTACCCCTGCCCATCAGCTATCTTGCTTCCTAACCCAGAGGACACCCAGTCTCACAAGATAGCAGAGTCAAAATATTATGTTGAGATTGTTAGTAGAACATACAACATCAGTTTTTCTTTGCCAGTGTTGAGTTCAACAAAGTACTAACCTATTTGTAAGCCAAATGGAAGTGTGTGAAGTTGGTGAGTTTCTAGTAAAACAAATCCTAGGGCTTTTAGGTAGGTGACAAAAGAAAGGTTCGAGAGAGCAATAGTACAGCAGGTAGGGCATTTACCTTGCACACAGCTGACCTGGGTTCAATCTCCGCATCCCATACGGTCCTCTGAGCACTGCCAGGAGTAATTACTGAACACAGAGCCAGGAGTAACCCCTGAAAATTTTAGGGTGTGGTCCAAAAATGGGAGGTGGGCAGAGGGCAGGGGGTGGGGAAAGGTTGGTTCTAGTCCTCTGTGTGAACTATCAGTCTAGTCTTCAGCCTGGGGGTCTAACTAAACAATTGGCTTCTAACAATGAAAGAAAGCATTTTTCTCTAAGGCTCCTCCTGCAACTTGCTTTTCTTGCTCAATGTGATGTTCCTGAGTTTTTTTATTCTCCTAATATGCATGTATATACTCTTATTTTATACAGTAGTCGCCTCATAGTAGTGTATGCATATTAATTTATTTATTAATTTATTCTTCTGTAGATGTATATCTAGACTGTAGTAAAGGTTCCTGAGTATAGCCTCTATTGTGATCAATATTCCTGTTTGTGTCTATCCTCTGAGCATGCACGTGTATGTGTTGGATTGCTAGGATATGTGTATGTGAGTGTGTTACAGGGTGAAAAACATCAAACTCATACCAGCGGTCATCTTTAGTGGTGGTCACAGTGACAATGGAATCCCTGAGCATGATTATTCAGTTGCTATTGGTTTATCATTCCTGTACTTCTTGCATATCTGAAATATTATTTACAATTAAAATGCGTGGATCTATTCCAACTTTGAAGGAATCTAGATATAATTCTTTATGATTTTAATTTTTTGCCTTCACTTATGAGAAATT